TTTTCTTAGCTGGGAGGTCTCTTATTGCTGTTTCTATTTCAATGCTTGATATGGGCCTGTTAAGCTGGTTTAACTCATCTTGGTTTAGTTTTGGATGCCAACATTTTCTAAGGGTACAGCACATATGTTAAAGCTCAGGAACATATTAGTGGCTTATGTAGTTCCGGCAGGGCTAATGTAGGAGAGCCAGATTTACCCTGGGTGAAGCCAGTAGGATCTGGGTGAAGCTGCATGAGTGAATCCAGGGAAAACAGAGGTGATGGGAGACAGAAACGCAAAGGCACTGCATTAAGGCACAAAGATTTTGGAAAGCATCTCTGACAGCACTTGGCAATACTTCCAGAGGAGACTCACAAGTGAGCCAGAGGAAACCTTTGTAAGTTTCCACAGGGAAGTCTCTGCTCCTTTGATGGAGGGCAAAACGAGAGCCAGAGGAAATAGCTTACCATGATCCAGGTGGGAAGAGTAGACCAGCCAGAAAAACAAGAAGGCAAGAGGAAAGCTTAACAAAGAGACTAAATATATGTAAACCATGTCGAGGAGTCTCTAGGAGAAAGATTCTAACTCTGCCTCCATCTGTTCACATAATAAATATTTACACTATGCACAGAAGCCATAATAGACATTGGGGATAGAGTAGTGAATCAAATATAAAAATCACTGGGAAAAGTAGGTAATAGACAAATAAGTAAAGGGAAGACCAAAAGGTAAATCATATGGCCTGTTGGATCATAGTAATTGATACAGAGAAACATAAGTTGTTGCAATTTTAAATGACACCCTGCAATTCAGGGAAGAGTTGACATTTGAGCAAGCTCCCAAAAAGACTCTGAGTTGCATTCTTAGGCTAAGGGCACTGAGCAAGTGAAAGTGTACTCAATAGTGGTGTACTGCAACTGTATTTAGTATGTGTCCACATGTTCTGTCTTGCTGTTGTGAAATTTAAGTGCAGCAGAAAACATAGTGTGTGAGATAGAAAAAGAGAAGAGGTGTCATTTGCAATGCTGAGTGTTTGGGAATGCATAGACCTGAAAGAATGATAGAGAAATCCCTTGCCCTTTATTTCCCAGGAGGAATCTGTGCCAAGAGAAATTGTGTGACACAGGTGTGTGATAGTCTTAGCCAACATATGACCTCAGTCTATAGAAATTCTTTCTGAAAGCTTCACACATTTTATTCGATAGTAAATTATTCTATGCTTAGACTTTAATAATCGCTTCTCAAGGCTTTATGTCTAGAAGCTTGCTCCCAATTCTTCACACTGTAGCACTCATGTTTTATGCTTGTCTGTCTCTTCTAGCTTTGTAAGAAGCCAAGCTTGGAGCGGCAGACAGGATGGCTAGCTCAGCCCGGGAGCATTTGCTCTTTGTGCGGCGTCGAAATCCCCAGATGCGGTACACACTGAGTCCAGAGAACCTGCAGAGCCTCGCTGCCCAGAGCTCTATGCCAGAGAACATGACCCTGCAACGGGCCAACAGCGACACGGACCTGGTGACTTCGGAGAGCCGCTCCAGCTTGACTGCCAGCATGTACGAATACACGCTGGGGCAGGCCCAGAACCTTATTATCTTCTGGGACATTAAGGAGGAGGTGGACCCCAGCGATTGGATCGGCCTTTATCATATAGGTGAGTCACAGCTTGTCTGTTTGCATGCCGCCCACGGTACGGATTTTTTTTATTCTGACATTATACCAGTCTGTATTTTTTCCCAGGGGAGTGGAACTCACACATGTACGCGTGCGTGCACACATACACGCACACAAATAGACCCAGCAGATTTGGGAAGTTTCTCTCTTGAGGAGGAGTAGAGTCAACAATATCTTAGCTTATATGTATTTTGTAGTTTGTATCTCTATCAAATTAAATGCTAGAATCTGCAATAATTGTGTTTTGTTCTTAAAATTTCATTTCCTTGATCAGCAGTCACATTGTAGAAAGAGGTGGCTATTAACATTTACCCTTTTAAACAACAGAAAGAGGTGTAGATTTAAATAATGGATACAAAAATGTGGCAGAATGTTTAATTTGATTAAAAACAACTTACAGTCTAAGGTATCTTTGTATGACTGAGAAAATGGTTGGTATTTGCTATAATTAGTGTGGTCCCAGCCTTATTTAACTAATTTGCATGTTACTCACAGATGAATAACTGAGGGAGGAAACATCCAACAAAATAAAAATAAAAATTGAAACCGAATAACCTAATCTAGCATTTCCCAAAACTAGAGGACTTCTCGGAATGCAGGAAATCCTTTCAAAGTTTCAGATATTTTGTTAAGAAGAGATTGTAGGTTTCAAGCGTCCTTTTTAAATGAGCAAATTAGAGAAAATGATCTTTTGATGGCACTTAGATCCAAGTGATTCTCAGATGGGAGATTTTTGCCTCCTAGAGGATATTTGAAGGTTATCTGGAGACATTTTTGGTTGTCGTGGGTGGATGGCTGCGGTGGTAAGACCAAGGAGACTGCTACAAGTACCACAATACACAGGGAGCTCTCACCCCCAAAGATGACCTGGCCCCAAATGTCCAGCACTATCACTGTGGAGAAGCTGTGGTTTGAGGCAAAGGAACCCACTTGCTGAAATTTTGTTGAAGTGTTAAACACTCTGAGATTGAGGATTTTACACTGGCTGAAAAAAATATATTGGTCTGTATTTACTCTTAATGTATTAGTAGAAAGAAATCTAAAACGGTAAAAATTTCAGCGAATTGTTAGTATTTGCTCCTCTCCTGGCAATAGAAAAGGGCAAAAGTCTTTATAATTTGGCATTTCCCCTACATGTGCTTAAATATATATTCAAAGGGAGAAAAGTATATGATTTAAAATTCGGTTTTATCAGTATGATTATGGTTACAAAAAGTCTTATTGTTTTTATAGGAGTTTTTAAGAAACTTGGGGTTTTGAAACAGGCTTATACTTTGGGACTGTATTTCATGATACTTCTCTCTTCACTTTTCTCATAAATTTTATTTGAGACATCCTCTCATTTGACCTCCTCGATCAGTGGATCATGGGCTTCCCTACATAGACTTTTGGTGCTAACCTCTCCAGTGGTCTTTCTTTTCTAGTTTTGTAACCTGGTGATTTGTAATGTCACTTGACTCAAACAGTTCTGTGCCTCCACTGTTCCCAGAACGTCCAGCTCCTTGAAGGAATCACTTCATAAGTTTCTATTTTCTCTGAAATTATAGCTTTTTTTACCACCTATTATTTAATATCTAAAATAACTGTCTCCTAGTATTACCATTGTTCCAATTAGGATGGCTAGTCTAATCTACCTGAAGCACTAGTTTCTTCCACACTTTGATTTAGTGTGGGAGAAGTAAGAGGTCTCTCTTAATTGTCCCATCTAGCCAGTTTAGGGGAAGTTGGTGTACATCTTTTTGCTTGTATCCATATATCTGTCACTTACTATATCTTCTGATAGATTTAGATTCATAGCAGGAAAAAAGGGCGAGGAGTTGGCACCCAAGACCTATCAAAGGGCTGCAACCAACAAAAAATAGCACTTCCAATAAAATAAAATTACCATGTAGGCATACAAAGGCAGTTGCTATTTGTGAGTGTGTGCTGATATTAACAGAACTTCTACAATAAGAGGCACAGTTCACAGTTCTGAAACATTTAATATGTCTTTTTTCCATGGATTCAGTGCCACTGGTGTATGTAAAATAAAGGCTGATTTATCTTGATCCTCAGGTTGAGTGAACAGAGAGCTGGCTTCAACCATACATAACACTTCCCTCCTAAGTCTAGAACAGGCTCTTTGGACTCCTAGATCAGAGATGTATGTAGCCTCATTTCTGTAAGGACTCTACTACCATCCCAACGTAACAGGTGACAAGGGATGTGTGAAGGAACTGGGGACTTAAATGAATAAGCATTTCCTGCCCTTGCTCCTTGCAGACAGAATAAGGTCTAATAGGTGAACAAGGTGGGCAGTGAGTCATTTCAACTCAGCCTACTCAGGCTCAGGAAAGGTCTAAACCTGTATGGTAATCCAACTATATTATATTCCTAATAACCCAACATTGTTTTTCTAGGGGACAAAAGCCAGAGCTTTGTGGATAGAATCTTTATGCTTCTCCTTCTCTTGTACTTAGGACTCTGGTTGAAAGGAGGTGATGACTTGAACTGCTGTATGTAGGTAAGCTGATATGAGGCAGTCAGTCCAGAGGACAAATGTACTAGCAGAGGAGCAGAAATGGATTAGCATTCCAGAGTTCACGTGTGCAAGATGTGCAAGAATTATGCCCCTCTGTTTGTTACTTGTACCAAAGCTGGACCTGTAGTTCAGACAGAAATGACCAAGAGAAAAGCAGGGTTTCTCAAAAATTACTTCTGAGAGCAGGATGAATGAGTGGGCTGCTGCTTTAGTAGTTGCAAATTCATATAGAGTGCTTAGGGCTCTTTCAATAGAGGTAGACATTATTAGATTCTTCTTCAAAGAAATAACAAAAAATTTAAAACAACTCTAAACAATGTGGGAAATTTCAGTTTAATAAGGGCAATAATATGATGGTCCTCAAGCTATCTGGGTAACTTTTGACTTGAATATATATCCAAGTTTCTTGGATGCTGTTAAGTGAGAGCAGATGAAATGGTAGGTTTGGAGAGGAGTTTTGGGAAAAAAAGAAGCAAGACCAGAATGTGGAAAGATTTGGGGGTCCAAATTAAGTCACGGATTTAATGTGATTGTTCCTACATAGGAGTATGCGTAATTATTTTTGTTGTTTTTATTTAGATTTTGGTTTTCTTTTTGAGATAAAAGTCTGGCCTTGAACTCAGGATTTTCTTGCTTCAACCTCATGAGTGCTGAGATTATAAATGGCCAGTGCCATCATACCTAGCTCTATAAGAAATCAAGTCATTTCTAGGGTTCTGGTGAAATAGATGTGCTGGAGCAATCTAAATTTCCTAACAATAGTGCGTGTGTCAGGACTAGCTTCAGATTTCTGTACCTCCAGGAAGAAGTCTCTTCCCTTCAGTGGTGTCCTGAGAAGTTAGATGGTTTCCTAGCAACTCTCAGCTTTATTTATGGATCAGAGAGACAGTCTCTATTGAAATAAGTCTCAAAGGAAAGGGAATTTAGAGGAACATGGAGCTGGTGAGGTGTGGTTTATTGGCACAAGATGAATTTTGATTGTTTTCTTGGCTTATAATTTCTTCTGAAGTGTGAATTTTATGTTTGTTGAATTGTTAATTTTTTGCACTATAATCCAGATGCCCTTTAGCCTTCCTAATCTGGAGAGAAAATATATACTCCTTGATCAGAACAATACAAGTTTTGAAAGCATTTCAGTAAGTAGATCCTATTAGAAATCCACAGATAATGAAGTTAAAAATGTCAGCTTTGGGTAACAAAGCACATCCTTAACTATATTCTCCCATCCAGTGAATCTCATATATTCTCTGACATTTCTAGGGAAGATCGTCTGGTAGATGGCTCTCAAAATCCACTAAATTTATAAGGTATTGTTGAATTCTACCATTAGAACTGATCTTTCACATATTTAACATTTAGCATTGTCTTTGTCCAGTGCTCATAAGGTAAAAGAGAATAAAATCTTCCTAATACATGACTTGTGCAAAAACACATAGAGTATCTAACAGCTCTTCATGCAAAATAAAATGGAAATAATTTAAAAGGGGAAGAAGACCATATTAAACGTGCTTCAGGCTCACTATGTAATTCCTTTTAGCTTTCAGTCTTCTGTGTATTTATTTGCTATTTAAAAAGCTAAATACTCCAAAAAGTTTAATTTGCCATTTCTGATTTGTTGGAAACTTCAAGTTCATAATAGAGCAGGAGAACTGTGCACTATGAATGTTTCAAACCTGTGTTGGAGACGTGGCTCAGTGGTACAGTGCTTGCTTAGCATTTATGAAGATGTGGGTTTGCTCCTAGCACTGTACATACAAACATATATACTATGCTGTACATGCATGATAGTCTGCACATTTTTAATCATCTATAACTAGTTAAGATGCTTTCTCTTGCATGTAAATCAATGTTCTATTTCTTGAGAAGTGCTTGCTTGGAGAAAAACATGATCTGAACTGAACAATCAACTTATTAATGCAGGCACTTCATATTCTGGTTCAATCCAGAATATGGACCAGATGTAATTTACCAGCATTTGTCTAGACCCCACTGTAAATATACCTCTCTGCATTCATACATTTATATATATATATATATATATATATATATATATATATATATATTCAACGAATAATAGGCAGACCAACTGTATTTTGGCTGTCAGTCTTTAAGAAACACCATGGCTAGTGTAGAATGACATTTTTCATGTTTCTTTGCATTTGAAAGAGACTCTAGTTACAATAGGGAGATTGTATATTTTAGAACTTTATGGTCCTAACCTAAATAAGTAGGTTAATTTTAAAGCAGCATAGACTTAAACCTGAAACTGAAGTGTGTGTGTCCCAGCAAGATGCCTGGACTCATTATAAGTTCCTGCTAATTTTTAACCATCATTATTTTTGACTTCTACTACTATAGCTATTAATATATAAAATCACTTTACTGGTGTCTGAAGCTGTAACATAGGCTTACTTACTGAATGAATCCAAAAGAAGGGATTTTCAGATTAAAGTAGCTCA